GAGAAATTTGTGCTAGGAGAGGGTGGGGGGATTTGTGCTAGGAGGAGGGATTGGGGGGATTTGCACTAGAAGAGAGGATTGGGGGGATTTGTGTTAGGAGGGGGGATTGGGGGGATTTGTGCTAGGAGAGAGGATTGGGGGGATTTGTGTTAGGAGGGGGGATTGGGGGGGGGGGGTTGTGCTAGGAGGGAGGATTGGGGGGATTTGTGCAAGGAGCAGAGATCAGGGTGGTTGTGAAAGGAGCGGGAATTGGGAGGGGACTTGTGCTAGGAGAGGGGGTTGGGGAGAGGTTGTGCTAGGAGGGAGGATTGGGAGGGGGGGATTTTTGTTAGGAGGGGGGATGGGGGGGGTTGTGCTAGAAGGGGGGATTTGTGCTAGGAGAGGGGATTGGGGGGGTTGTGCTAAGAGGGAGGATAGGGGGGATTTGTGCCAAGAGAGGGGATTGGGGCACATTTGTGCTAGGTGAGGGGGATGGGGGGGGAAGTTGTGCTAGGAAGGGGGATTTGTGCTAGGAGAGGGGATTGGGGAGGTTGTGCTAAGAGGGAGGATGGGGGGATTTGTGCTATGAGAGGGGATTGGGGGGTGTTAGGAGGGGGGATTTGTGCTAGGACAGTAGATTGGGGAAAATTTGTGCTAGGAGAGGGGGATGGGGGGGATTTTAGGAGGGGGATGGGGGGGGGGGATTGTGCTAGGAGGGGGGGACTGGGAGGCATTGTGCTAGAAGATGGGAATTTGTGCTTGGAAGGGTAATTTGGAGGGGGTTGTGCTATGGGGAAGGATTTATGGGGAATTTGTGATAGGAGGCGGGATTGGGAGGATTTATTCTAGAAGGGGGGATTTGGAAGAGAGGATTTGTGCTAGGGTGGAAAATGTGAGAGGGAAAAGGATGTGAGCTATGAAGAGGGATTGGGGGGGGTTTTTTTATGCTAGGAGCGGAGTTTGGGGGGGGTTGTGCTAGGAGGAAGGATTGGGGGGGGATTTGTGGTAGGAGGAAGGATCAGGGGGTTATGAATGAAAAGGGTATTGGGAGGGATTTGTGCTAGGAGAGGGGGTTTGGGGGAAGGGATTTGTGTTAGGAGGGGGGATTGGGGGAGAAAATTGTGCTAGGAGGGGGGATTGGGGGGGGGGTTGTGCTAGGAAAGGGGATTGGGGTGGTTGTGCTAGGAGGGAGGATTGGGGGGGATTTGTGCTGGGGGGAGGATCGAGGGGGTGTTAGGAGGGAAGATTGGAGAGGAATTTGTGCTAGGAGAGGAGATTGGGGCTCATTTGTGCTAGGAGAGAGGAGAGGGGGATTGGGGAAGGGGGGTTGTTAGGAGAGGGGATGGGGGGAGAAATTGTGCTAGGAGGGGGGATTTGGGGGGTTTGTGCTAGGAGCGAGGATTGGGGTGTTGTGCTAGGAGGGAGGATTGGAGGGGTTGTGCTAGGAGGGAGGATTGGGGGGGATTTGTGCTGGGGGGAGGATCGGGGGGGGTGTTAGGAGGGAAGATTGGAGAGGAATTTGTGCTAGAAGAAGAGATTGGGGGGGTTAGGAGGAGGGATTTGTGCTAGGAGAGGGGGATTAGGGAGAGATTGTTGTTAGGAAACTGGGATTTGTGCTGGGATGGATAGTTTGGAGTGGGTTGTGCTATGAGGAAGGATTTATGGGCATTTGAGCTAGCAGGCAGGATTGGGGGGATTTATGCTAGGAGGGGGGATTTGGAGGAGAGGATTTGTGCTAGAAAATTTGAGGGGGAAAAGGATTTGTGCTGTTAGGGGTGAAATGGAACTACAGGTGAAGTTTTTTCTTTTTAGGGTGGGGGGGGGGGGAGTGTGCAAGAAGCTAGTCCTGCCTAGAACCCACCCTGGGTTTATGTCCATTTTAAGTGATTGTAGGACATTTTTATTTGTATTGTTATAGTTATTAGTGTTATTATGTATGTCTGCTACAGATGAATGAAAGATACAATGTGCAATGGGGTTATCCTCATCCTGAAGTGGGCTAGACCCAGGAAATGCGTAGACATATGGAACACCCTATACCAGGGGTGGGCAAACTTTTTGACTTGAGGGCCGCAATGGGTTCATACATTGGACCCGGGGGCCGGACCAAGAGTAGATGAATGATGTGTATGTGTCATCCATAGTAAGTATAGTAATATTCCCCCATAATAAGCATAGTAATTAATCCCCCATATAGTAATTCATCCCCCATAGTAATTCATCCCCCATAGTAAATCATCCCCCATAGTAATTAATCCCCCATATAGTAATTCATCCCCCATAGTAAATCATCCCCCATAGTAATTAATCCCCCATATAGTAATTCATCCCCCATAGTAATTCATTCCCCATAGTAATTAATCCCCCATATAGTAATTCATCCCCCATAGTAATTAATCCCCCATATAGTAATTCATCCCCCCCATATAGTAATTCATCCCCCATAGTAATTCATCCCCCATATAGTAATTCATCCCCCATAGTAATTCATCCCCCTATAGTAATTAATCCCCCATATAGTCATTCATTCCCCATATTAATTCATCCCCCATATAGTAATTCATCCCCATAGTAATTCATCCCCCATAGTAATTCATCCCCCATATAGTAATTCATCCCCCATAGTAATTCATCCCCCATAGTAATTCATCCCCCAGTATTCAGTATAGTAATTCCCCATAGTAATTCATCCCCCATATAGTAATTCATCCCCCCCTATAGTAATTCATCATCATCCCCCCTATAGTAATTCATTCCCCATATTAATTCATCCCCCATATAGTAATTCATCCCCCATATAGTAATTCATCCCCCCTATAGTAATTCATTCCCCATATTAATTCATCCCCCATATTAAGCCCCCAAGTCCCCCCTGTGTCAATTCACTTACCTTTGCTCCGCGTGTTCCTCTCGCCGTGTTCCCGCTCCGTTCCGGTCTTCAGGGCGCACTGTGAGAGGAGCCTAGCTCCCCTCACGTTCGTCACGCTGCCCCGCCTACACACATCCTGACAGCATTTCCTGACAGTATCACGCTCCACGGGCCGGATTAAAAGGTCCGCCGGGCCGTAGTTTGCCCATTGCTGCCCTATACAAATACTGTACATTATTGATTGTTAATGTTAATTGTTAATAACTGGGGTTGCACTGATACCGTTTTTTATGGACAAGTACAAGAACCGATACTTGTGATCAAGTACTGGCCAATACCAATTACTGATAACTTTGCTGTGCGATTTGAGCCCATACAAAATGTATTGCTCAAATCACACTGCAAATCGCATCCACAGGGAAACCGCATGTGATTTGGACAGGAATCGTACCGCATTCCTGTTCAAATCACATGCGATTCTTTGCAGTGCCATTCAGGGGCGGACTGACAACTCATGGGGCCCCCGGGCAATAGGGGATCATGGGGCCCCTGTGTCCCTGCCCACACTCAAAGCGCACCCAAAAAGTCTATAAAAAAGGTGCGAGGGGCATTTCATGGGGCCCCCTACTGACCCGAGCCCTCGGGCAGTGCCCAAGTGCTCGAATGGTCAGTCCGCCCCTGGTACCATTTGAGCCCATTCATTTTGTATGGGCTCAAATCACACTGCAAATGTATTGGTTTCAGGTATCGGAGCATTTGCATGAGTACGAGTTCATGCGCAAATGTTTAGTATCAGCACCAATACTGGTATCCGTACAGCCCTATTAACCGCTTCCCCTGCCGCCCTTTAGCACAAATACTGCTACAGGGTGGCAGGACTGCGCAAAATCACATATACGTGATTTTGTATTTCCGGGTAGCATGCTTACACAGTAAATCACACAAAGCACACAGAGTAAAAACAGCACACAGTTAACCCTTTGATTGCCTCACATGTTAACCCCTTCCTGCCCAGTGTCATTAGTACAGTGTCAGTGCTTTTTTTTGGCACTGATCACTGTATTAGTGTCACTAGGGATGTCAGTGCCAGTTAGTGTCAGTTAGTGTCAGAATGCCTGCTGCAGTCCAGTAGTCCCACTGTAGGTTGCTGATCGCTGCCATTATTACTAATATATATATATATATATATATATAAATTCCAGTATCTACACCGCCATATGTAAACGCTATAACTTTCCCGTAAACCAGTTAATTTACACATATTGGGATTTTTTTTTCATCTTTTTTTTTTCCATAAAGCTTTTATTGAAAATGGAAAAGTAGCATAACATACCGTATTTTTCTCTCTCCATAAGACGCATGTTTTTCCCCCCAAAAAAGGGAGGAAAATGTCAGTGTGTCTTATGCAGCGAATGTAAAGCAGTCGGTCCGGTATTTCTGCCGCCACCATGTCAGAATATTGGGACCGGCCACTCAGCTCTTCTCTCCTGCAGGACCTTACCTGTTCCTCGCTCCAGCGCTGCAGTCTTCCCACGGCGGCTTCTGTGACAGCCAGGTGCCCACTGCGCATGCGCGAGAAGCGTTGCGCTTTGTGAATGGTCCGGCGTCTTCTGGGACACATGCCAGGTCCCAGAAGGCTCCGGGCCATTCACAAAGCGCAGCGCTTCTAGCGTATGTGCAGTGGGCACCCGTCTGTCACAGAAGCCGCCACGGGAAGAAGGAAGGAAGGACAACTCTGCGGAAGTGGGAGTGGGTACCTGTCAAATTCAGGTACCTGTTCCCCCTCACTCCCCAAAGGCCAGCAGTCTCTGGTCATCCCCTGCACTGTCTGCAGTCTCTGGTCATCTCCTGTACTGTGTCTGCAGTCTCTGGTCCATCTCCTGTACTATGTCCGCAGTCTCTGGTCATCTCCTGTACTGTGTCTGCAGTCTATGGTCCATCTCCTGTACTGTGTCCGCAGTCTCTGGTCATCTCCTGTACTGTGTCCGCAGTCTCTGGTCATCTCCTGTACTATGTCCGCAGTCTCTGGTCATCTCCTGTACTGTGTCCGCAGTCTCTGGTCATCTCCTGTACTATGTCTGTCCGCAGTCTCTGGTCATCTCCTGTACTGTGTCCGCAGTCTCTGGTCAGTTTCTGGTCATCTCCTGTACTGTGTCCGCAGTCTCTGGTCATCTCCTGTACTGTCCGCAGTCTCTGGTCATCTCCTGTACTGTGTCCGCAGTCTCTGGTCATCTCCTGTACTGTGTCCGCAGTCTCTGGTCATCCCCTGTACTGTGTCCGCAGTCTCTGGTCATCCCCTGTACTGTGTCCGCAGTCTCTGGTCTGTGTCCCCTGTACTGTGTCCACAGTCTCTGGTCATCCCCTGTACTGTGTCCACAGTCTCTGGTCATCCCCTGTACTGTGTCCACAGTCTCTGGTCATCTCCTGTACTGTGTCCGCAGTCTCTGGTCATCTCCTGTACTTGCAGTCTCTGTCCATCTCCTGTACTATGCAGTCTCTGGTCATCTCCTGTACTATGTCCGCGCAGTCTCTCTGGTCCATCTCCTGTACTGTGTGTCTGCAGTCTCTGGTCATCTCCTGTACTGTGTCCGCAGTCTCTGGTCATCCCCTGTACTGTATCCGCAGTCTCATCCCCTGGTCATCCCCTGTACTGTGTCCGCAGTCTCTGGTCATCTCCTGTATTGTGTCTGCAGTCTCTGGTCATCTCCTGTACTGTGTCCGCAGTCTCTGGTCATCCCCTGTACTGTGTCCGCAGTCTCTGGTCATCTCCTGTACTGTATCCGCAGTCTCTGGTCATCTCTGTACTGTGTCCGCAGTCTCTGGTCATCTCCTGTACTGTGTCCGCAGTCTCTGGTCATCTCCTGTACTGTGTCCGCAGTCTCTGGTCATCTCCTGTACTGTGTCCGCAGTCTCTGGTCATCTCCTGTAATATGTCCGCAGTCTCTGGTCATCTCCTGTACTGTGTCCGCAGTCCATTGGTTCAGAATATTTTTTTTCTTGTTGTTCTCCTCTAAAACCTAGGTGCGTCTTATGGAACGAAAAATACGGTAATCAGTAAAACACAACCAAAGCTTTATAGCAAAAAGTCAAATATTTTTTTTTTTTCTCCAAATTGCCGGCCTTTTTTGCTTAGCACAAAAAAATAAAAACCACACAAGTGATCAAATACCACCATTCATGGGGGAAAAAGGACGTAACTGTCATTTGGGTGCAAAAAAATTACGTAACTGTCATTTGGGTGACCGTACAATTGTCAGTTAAAGTAACGCTGTGCCGTAACGCAAAAATGACCTGGTCAGGAGGGGGATCCTTTTTTGCAAAAGGTGGAATTCCCCTTTAACATTAACCACCCCCCGGCGGTATTCCCGAGTGTAGCTCGGGGTAAACTTTCAGTACCAGAAGTGGTAACCCCGAGCTACACGGGATTACCCTGCAGCATTGTTCAGGGATTCCCTCCAGCACTTACCTTGTCCTGCGCTCCTGTGATGTCCCCCCTGCAGCGCCCCCGGCCATCTCCTCCGGCCGATGCCAGCATCCGTCTTACAGGCTCCGTTCTGTGCGAGCGTGGGGCGTATGGGGACGGAACGGTGGGAAATTCAAAAATGTTAAAAAGTGACATTCCCTAAAATCACTAAAATCACATAGTATAACATTCCTGTATCAAACCATTTCACATACATTTTGTCCCGAGTGCTTTGTCCGGCTCCCTGCCTGCATTTTTACTGTTCTTTCTGCCTGGAAACTGAGAAACGTCCATGGCGTCCAAAAAGCGTCCCTTTAGGTCAAAAGCGGTTTTAGTCCGGCTAGAGAACAGCGATAGTAAATCAGAACCACTTGCAGAATTGAGTGATAATGATTTGTGGGGGAAATTCCTCATCAGACACTGAAAACGATTCTGCGACTTTGCTTAGTGATGTGCGAACTTGGCGCTCTATTTCAAATTTCAGTGTTTTTGGTTTGATTATATTATTGAATTAAATTTATTATTATATTATTATTTTTTATGATTATTTATTATATTATAATTTATGATTTTGTGTTTCAAATTTTATCATACCCGGGATCATGGGCGGACTGACAACTCATGGGGCCCCCGGGCAATAGGGGATCATGGGGCCCCTGTGTTCTTGCCCAAACTCAAAAAAGCCTATGAAAAAGGTACCAGCGGCATCTCATGGGGCCACCTACTGACCCAAGTTTCCAAATGGTCAGTCCGCCCCTACCCGGGATGTTTACTAGACTCTTGTTCGGACAGATTTCAGTGAGTTATTCCTAAGAATTACAGGCCTACAATAAAAAAAACAACATATTTCCATGCAAAAAAATGTACCGCTTTGAGCACAGAAATACTGACATAATCAGACCGCTAGGGAGGTTAAAAAATAAATATTTCTGAGGCCGGGTCAATTTACAGATTTCAATTCTATAGTTTGCCTCTTCTCTGTTTTTTTTCTTTAAAGGCATGAATGCACAAGACAGGATTTTTTATTAAGGACTGGAAATAGACGCTCCAATAAAAAAATAGACAAACAGAAGGCGAAGCGCGCATATTGACATCACAGGTGAATTGCTGGCAATTTCCAGTGCGTTGCCGTCTCCTCCGTTCTGACAGCAGGATGTCTCACTCCGACTGGAGAATGAAGGGATTTATGTAGAAGACTTGAGGCAAGAGGTAGAATCTGTTCTAACTGCTGGAAGATTGGTTTGTCTAATTCACGCTGCTTCTGCTCATCCTTCTCCACCTGCTACTCCTCATTGTCCAGCTGTTTCCCTTCCAAAACAAATTTTCATTTTCGGCTTTCCGAAATGCTGCGCTATTTTATTTTGGGTGAATCCAGTCAAGGTCCTAATCGCAGCAAATAAAACACAGCCTTGTTTGAATCATGCAATAGGATTTAGGCGTCTCTCTTTTTTGAAACGTAAGATTGCCGTGGCCATTGTTTAGGTCTGAAAGAAATCTGTGAGCTGCTGATGGTCTGTATTAGAGGCAGAGAGACCACTGAATTCATCTTAAAGTGACACGAAAGGCTTGTTTAGACTTGCAGTTGGGGTTGGTAAAATAACAGTTTTTACCACCCTTTTAAGCTGCAAAAGCAGCAGACTATGTTTTTTACATGCCATGGCTGCAATGCTTTGCTGCATCAAAAACGACTTCCCCTGTTGCCAGGGGTGTATTTACCACAAGGCAAGCAAGGCATTTGCCTAGGGCGGCATTTTTCAGGGGGGAGCAGCACTGCCCCTTGGAAGAAGGGACGGAAGAAGGGTCAGACGTGGCATGGGGACCTGGTGGGTTCTGAGCGATGCTGTGGGTTTCATGATGGTGTATGCACAGCCCGACTCGTTCCTGGGGATGTCCGGAGCTGTGAAGGTGAATGTCTTTCTCTCGCCATGGGGGATGGTGGCTGGTGTACGGGAGGCAGTGGTAATGGAAGGCTCAGGTAGAGGGCAGGGGTGCTCTTGGTCAAGCTCTTTCTTTGGGGGGGGGTGCCAATTTTTGTGTTGAATAGGGCAGCAAAAACCTAAATACACCACTGCATGTTGCTGTCAGTAGTGGTAGCAGCAAGCAAATGAGGCCATGCGCAACCTTGTCCAATGCACACAGTTGCAGAGCAGACATGTGGCATTCATTACTGGCCTGATTGCCTCCTAACAGCATGCCAAATGTCTAACCCTAGGGTCACACCTAAGCGTTTTCTGCAGGTGTTGCATTTTGCAGAAACGCACTACAGTCCACTGAACGTGATTTCCTATGGGACACGTTCACATCTCTGCATTTTCACCCGGTGCGTTTTTTGGAAAGGGTCAGGGACTTTTTTAAAAGTAAAAAGTTGCGTTTGGGTTCTATAGACTTCAATAGAAACGCTGTGGAAAAGCATGCATTGTGTTTTAGCTGTGTTTTTGCCTTGTTTTTGATGCATTTTTGTGTTTTAAATCTGCCTAGCAACAAGAAAAAAATGAAAAAAAAAAACACAAAACGCATCAAGAACGCTGCAAAAGCGCAGGTTCAAAAACGCAAAACGTAATGCAGAAAAGTCTCAAACGCAACCTGCATAGGTGTGAACCTAGCCTTAAGGTGGGAATATACGATTAGAAAATCGACTGATCTGTCATCCGACGATCGAGAGACGTTCGTTCGTTGGTCGAAATCGCGCCCACATTAAAAATCGTTCGTCGGGCAATACGTAGTGTTGACGTCTTCCGTACAAGTGGAAGTGATGCGGTGTGCGTGTGACCTTGTAGCCACGCCTTTCCGACCAGAACGAGCGATATACACAACAATTACCAGCAATGAGTATAATATCGTTTTTTACATGACCTATATACATAAATAGTGATACATAAAATATAATCTGCAGAATTCTGCTTTCATCATCTCATTAGGCCGATCTACTTTTAACATTTGGATTTTTCGTTCGTGTTTACGAAGATTCCTTGGACATAAACATCCGGGTCATCTTCTGTTTCCGCTCATGTGTGATGGCGCTTGATAGATTGTTTTCGTACGACCGTCATACCACCGCATAGAAAATCGGTCGTTCGTATGTGAAACAACAACATTTTTCACTGTTGTTCAACTGGATTTTTTTGTTCCCAATATTGTTATCGGTTAAAGCATCCTGCTCATCAACGAAGAGAAAATCGTTCGATCGGTGGTTCCGCAAACTTTTTCGCGCGATTTTCATATCGTGTGTACGGGGCATAAGTCTCCAACAGTAATCCATACACATCCACTGCTTAGTGACCCTGTAGTCTATTGTTCATGAAATTGCTTCTTAAGGTCCTTTTACATGAGCGTTTTTTTCATCAGTTGAGTCACGTTTTTTTCAAAGAAAAAACGTAATAATTTTCATTTGTTTTTCAGCAGTTTACATCAGTTTTTTCATCTGTTCTTGATCCTTTTACATCCATTTTACATCCGTTTTCATCCATTTTTCATCGGTTTTTCATCTGTTTACATCCTTTTTACATCCGTTTTCATCCATTTTTCATCAGTTTTTCATCTGTTTACATCCTTTTTACATCCGTTTTCGTCCATTTTCATCCGTTTATATCAGTTTACATCTGTTTTCATCCATTTTTTCATCCATTTTTGCATTAGTGTAGATCCATTTTACATGTTTTAATCCTTTTCTCATCTGTTTTCATCAGTTTTAATCCGTTTACATCCATTTTCATCCGTTTATATCAGTTTACATCCGTTTTCATTCATTTTCATCAGTTTTTTTTTTTTGGGAATATCAGGAGGAAGCCTCTGGCATGGAGTGTGGCACAAGATGGCAGAGAGTTAAAGCCTCAGCTGGAGGGTCACTGTTCTAACAGGAGAGGAGTGGGGCAGAGACCATTTTCAGCCATTCACAAGCCCCTCTTACAATTGCCTGAACCTCTCTTTTTCTCTCTCACTTCCATTTGTTTGGAATGAGCAGTGAAGGCTAGTAGACATCATGGGCATTACTCTGTACATACAACAAATTCCATAGTCCAACTCAGTAGTGAGCAAAAGAGGATGGCTATTTTCCTACATACTAATCTGGAGGTCAACATAAGGAACAGGTAAGATGTGCAAGAGACCTAGAAGATTGGAAAAGAGTTGGAAATCTGAAGCTCTGAGCAGGTATCCGGTGTGCCCTATGCCAAATTCCCACGAGAGTTCAGAGGTGGCCTTTAAATAGGGAATCCCACGTCATTTATGAACACTTTGAGTGACTGGCTGATTAGAGAAAGAAACCTGTTGGTTATGGACAGTTCTTAGCATAGGTAAAGGTTCCTGGTGACTAGGGACAGTGTAAGGAAAATAATCTGATATCACAAGAACCTTCCTCCTTAGAGAGTCAATTCGGTGTAATTATACCAGGTACCACCACCCCTCCAGCAGAGGCTGTCCTCTGGTAACATTGCAGTGAATTACAATACTGAGAGCTGTACTGAAATGGTTTTGTTTTTTAGTGTGCCCAACGTTCATCTATTGTGAGTGTTACAGCTTTGAACAACTATTATGAAGCTTCTATATTCTC